GCATTACTTATTTTCTACTGCCCTTGCTAACCCACACCATGGGTCTAACTACCCAACTACTTCTGTTATTCCTTTCCATTCAGGTTGACAAAGACCCTGAAGTCCTTTTCTATTTGATGGTACTGCTGCTGAGTTCACCCTTGGTGACTCCAGTGCCTGTTTTGATGACTCTTTAATATTCTTCTACAGTTCACCTGCAAAACCTTATCCTGACTGCCATTATATCCAGAACTCTTCTATCTCCAAGAAAGAGAACACTGGAATTCCTCGGTTTACAAACAACCTCAAGTCTTTCTATTTCTCCCACTCCCATTTTAAAATTATTTTTAAAATTACTTTTTAAATTGTGGTAAAATTTACCATTTTAATCATTCTATGTATATAGTGACATGAGGCACACTCATATTGCTGAGTAACAATTACCAGAATCCATCTTCAAAACATTTTTCATCATCTAAAACTGAAACTCAATATCCATGAACAGTAATTCTCCATTTCTTAGTACATTCCCTTTTATATTCTCTAAGGAACTGTTTCAGACTTTTCCTACTCATCCTCAGAAATTAAAACACAAGCTTATTTCTCTTAATTTCTGTAGCTCTTCTCACAACTTACTTTATGAAGATTCAAGTCATTTTTTTACAAGACTGTCAAGTTCTCGTCCCTTAAAACTTCACATCTCTACCATTCTTTTGCTTTTTTCCCCCTCTACTACAGAAAGAAGAATGCCTCCTCCTTTTCAAAGCCAACCCCTCCACTAGTGCTCTCTTCCTTCCCTCTGTTTCTTTTGGAACTTTATTATATCACTGTTCTCCCTTTAATTTCTCTCTTTTATTCTCATTTCTCTCTGCATTGTAACATGCCTAAGAGTCCCATATCCCAATAAAAAACATCAATAATAGTAATAATAATAATAATAACATATTAAGTTGCCATTATGAGCTAGCTACTATCCTAACTGATTAAAATATACCTTCTCATATAATTCTCACAATGACCCACTGAGATCAAATTATTATGAAGAAATTATTATGATGAGGAAACTGAGAGTCTAGAAATATTGAGTAACTTGCCCAATATTGTCTAACTAGTAAGCAGTATCTTCCCTTCTCCATGCTACTCTGGCACGATCCCTTTTTCTCTTCATTTCCCTTTCATTACCATATTTCTTGAAATAGTCTCAGTTCCTCCTCTACACTATGCAATCCATTACAGTTTCTTGGAGATTCCCATGCTTAATGGTCTCTCTAAAAGGTCTCTAATCTCCAGCTGGGTCTCTCTAGGGCTCATCACTAAATGTTGCTTTTTGAGATGGTCTTTTCTCTTATCCTTCATAATATATGATCTCTTTTTTCTGGTTCTCTTCCTCGTCTTTTTTGCTAATTCCTTATCTTCTCCTACCCTTTAAATGTAAGCTTTCTTATAGTTCCATCTAGCCGTAGCCTGCTCTTCCTGTACCACACTCAGCTGAGACAATCTCATTTGCTCCTACTTCATTAACTCTCATGCTGTAACAAATGAAGAACAAATCCACACAGCTATTTCAGGCCTCCCCCACCCACCCACAACCTAATTCCAGCTCAGGGCTGAAATTTCTACTGCACTGTAAGTGCTTCTCAAGTATCTCAAACTCCATCTGCCCCACATGATACTCATTACCCATGCCTGACAATGGACTCCCCACCTGAGTTTCCTACCCTGAATCACTGGCACCTCCTTCAATTACTTTTGCTTCCCCTTTCCCCAGTACAGAGCTGATACAAACACATCCAAAAAGAGCTATAGGGGCTCTGTAGGGGACAGAACACTGAGCTGAGAGTGAAGCTTGGGGTTTTAATCCTGACTCCATCACTAAGAAGCTAAGTGACCTAGTGGAGCTAGAACAGGGATTTCTGGGGCCTTTTCTCACTCTAATATTCAAGGACTCTAAAAAATGCCTGCAGCACTTACTGCCTTATCTCCTCCTTACTGGCCTCACTAACATTGCCCTGCCCCTGCCCTCACTGCTTTTTGCCTGGGTTATTTTAATTGGCTTCCTGATTGATCTTGTTTTCTGTCTTTTCTTCTTTCATCCCTTCAGATATTCTTTCACACAACCATAAAATTACATTCATAAAACACAGGTTTTATAACGCTTTTCACTTGCTTAAGCAACTTTTAAAAGATTCCTGTTGGCTATGAGATAAAATTGAAACTCCTTATTGCTGCGTTCATAGCCCTTTCCATGTTAGTTCCAACATACCACATGAAACATCACTTTTTCTAAGTTGGATTATATGTGAGGTTGGAGATATAAGCACTTAGGGGGAAAAAATCCCTTATTCTTTATAGTAAAAATAATAGTGGATCAAAGATTTAGGTGTTAAGTAGTAAACAATACAATTTTAGAAAAATGCGTCATAAATTTAGAAGAGGAGAGGTACTTTGAAGCAGGACACAAAATCCAGGAATTCTAAGGCAGTGATTAAATTTGACCACATAAGATTTAAAAATTTATGTATGACCAAAAAAAATGCCACTGAAGACATGAACAGACACTTCTCCAAAGAGGATATCCAGATGGCCAACAGACACATGGAAACAATGCTCATCATCGCTCATCATCAGGGAAATACAAATCAAAACCACATTGAGATACCACCTCATGCTGGTCAGAGTGGCTAAAATGAACAAATCAGGAGACTACAGATGCTGGTGAGGATGTGGAGAAAAAGGCACTCTTCTACACTGTTGGTGGGAATGTAAACTGGTGCAGCCCCTCTGGAAAACAGTGTGGAGGTTCCTAAAAAAAAAAAAAAAAAAAAAAAAAAAGAACTCCCCTATGACCCAGCAATAGAACTGCTAGGAATTTACCCAAGGGATACAGGAGTGCACATGTACCCCAGTGTTCATAGCAGTACTTTCAACAATAGCCAAATCATGGAAAGAGCCTAAATGTCCATCAACTGATGAATGGATCAAGAAGATGTGGTTCATCTATACAATGGAATACTACATGGTAATGAGAAAGAATGAAATCTGGCCATTTGTAGCAATGTGGATAGAACTTGAGGAACTAAGTGAAATAAGTCAGGCAGAGATACCATATGTTTTCACTTACAAGGAAACAGGAGAAAATTAACAGAGGACTATGGGGGAGGAGAAAGGGGAAACCTAGTTGGGGAGAGGGAGGGAGGCAAACCATGAGAGACTCTTGAATGCTGAGAACAAAACTGAGGGCTGATGGGGATGGGGGAGAGTGGAAGGGAGGTGATGGGCATGGAGGAGGGCACTTGTTGGGATGAGCACTGGGTGTTATGTGGAAATAAACTTGACAATAAACTATGAAAGAAAAAAATGCCATTAACAGTCTAAAAACAAATGGTATTGGGGAAAAATTTTGAACACATACAGATAAGGCTTTCATTTTAATTTACAAAGGATTCATATACATCAATAATTTACAAAAATTGACAACAAATAGATTTTTAAATATTTATTTTTGAGAGAGAGAGAGAGCACACATGCATGTGAGTAGGGGAGGGGCAGAGTGAGAGGAAGACAGAGGATCTAAAGTGGGCTCTGTGCTGACAGCAGAGAGCCTGATGCAGGGCTGGAACTCATGGAGCTCAAACTCACTAACCATGAGATCATGACCTAAGCTAAAGTTGATTCTTAATCAACTGAACCACCCAGGCACCCCTATAACAAATACATTTTTAAAAAAAGATGCTGAATTTCACTAAATAAAATTCAAAACCATGAGATATTTTCCATTTTTTAGAAAGGCAACCTTTTTAAAAGTTTTTATTTAAAGTTCAGTTAGTTAACATACAGTGTAATATTAGTTTCAGGTGTACAATATAGTGATTCAGCACTTCCATATAGCACTGGTGCTGATCACAAGTGCACTCTTTAATCCCCATCACCTATTTCACCCATTTCCCTCTCACCTCTCCTCTGGTAACCATCAGTTTGTTTTCTATAGTTAAGAGTCTATTTCATGGTTTGCTTCTCTCTTTTTTCCCCTTTTGCTCATTTGTTTTGTTTCTTAAATTCACTAGAAAGGCAAACATCTTACAGGCAATGATACCCATCACTGCTAAGACAATGGTGAAAAGGGTATTCACCTGGATTGTTGAAGAAATTATAAATCAATACAAACTTTGGGAATTCAATATGATAATATCTATCAACATGCAAGATGCAAGAACCCTTCGAATCATCAATCCCAGTATGAGGAATTTGTGCTACCAATGAACACACACAAAGGTTTACCATGAATCACAACACAAACACATACACACATGTCAGCTGCAACATTGGTGATATTAGAAAAGAAGAAAAGAAAGGGGAAAAAATAGAAACAGCCAAAGTGTTAATCAATAAAAGATTGGTTATGGGATACTTATATAAGTGAATGCTAATTATAATGCTTCCTGTACAAGAATATTTCTGACGTGTATTCATGATGTAGTATTAATTGGAAAATCAAAAAAGCAGCTTATAAAATAATATTTGTGATAGGTTCTATTTTTTTATGAAAAAAATAGAGATGCGTAATATTTCTACACTCAACAAAGAATGTCAAGAAATAGAGCATATATTCTTTCCTATCATTTACCCATTTTCTGAGTGCACATACATTATTTTTATAATCAGAAAAATATTACCTAAAGTTTTCAACTACCCAAAAGAAAAGATAAAAGCAATGAAACAATCGGTGCCCTTGTATGCTCTACATTGAGCAATAAACAGTACCTAGAGTCAATGCCATAGAGGTTTCATAAAAATTAATGATTAACTGAGTACCACTCATTGAAATTGCTGCAGTTAAAATAGTCTGAAAGTTCTGTTTAGGATTTGGCTGTGGGAATAAGATATACTCCCACTCATTCTAACCCATTCAACTAGCACTATTTGCATTGCCTCATTCATCAAAATCTGTCACCCAATGTTGCTTAATCCAAGTGTGTATATATAAGTAGAGCTGAAATATAACTGCATCAACTACCACCAAATGTTGATGACAGAATCTTCATTATTTGAAACCAGCCCTTCACGTTTATAACTAAGGTGAGTTATCATAACCAATGTAAAAGTATATTTGCCTATGTTTTGGGGGAAAGTAGCATGAAAGAACCAGTGATGTTTATATTGCTATATATACTGAAATATTTCTGATTTAAAAATAGGAAGTAAAGAGTAAATTTTAAGTCTGAAAAAAGGTGAAAAGAATGCTTGTATTTTTTTAAAGTGAAGATTTGTATGTTGTTTAAGGAAGTGCTTTTTTATTCCTGAATAGGATTTGAAAGTATTTTCTATGTTTTTTACTTACTATTTAATTCTTTTCAAAAAAACTTTTACATTTACATATTTTTTGAGAGACAGAGAGAGACAGAGCACAAGCAGGGAAGGGGCAGAGAGAGGGAGACACAGAATCCAAAGCAGGCTCCAGGCTCTGAGCTGTCAGCACAGGGCCAGACGCGGGGCTTGAACCCACAACCATGAAATCATGACCTGAGCTGAAATCAGCCACTCAACTGACTGAGCCACCCAGAGGCCCCTACCACTTGATTCTTAAAAAGCAGCTGACTTTCTCTGTGTCAATAACTCCCTGTAAATATGGTATTTCAGTTTCTTATCTATGTTGCTTAAATCAGAAAACTAATTTTGGTTTAAAGTTGAGTTCCTCCAAGTATGTTATCTCAAATTAGCCCATGTTAATAGATAGTCCATGTTAACAGTGTTGTTGATAGAGGTAGTGGGGGAAGTTACAAGATCAAATAATTACCCAAAATAATTAGTTAAACTGAAGTACCCATGAATCTTCAATGAAGGACTGTTAACATCTTTACTCTGGTAATGTGGTTCTGACTTCACAAGAGGTGGAATATAAATAGAGTCGTTTCCTAGATTTACTTTAAAATGTAAATTTTTTTTTAAATGTCCATTCAGGAGAACTTTTTTTCTGGAAAATGAGGATCCTTGGATAAAAAAGGAAACGCACACACTAAAAAACAATCCAGTGTTATAATTTTTCATTTTATCAGTAAAGTGTTACCTGTACACCTACTGTGTGCAGGGTATTAACTGAACTGTTTTCTAAACAATTTAAAATTTAACTGCAAACTATTCCACATGTTATGATTATGATTATCATATTTAGAAATTTATTATTTCCAAAGAAGTTGGACAACTGGCCAAGTATTTGAAAATAAATTCCCAGTTCTGATTATTTTCTTTTTACATTTGGAGGAGGAAGAGAAGAGACAGGGTAGGAAACTGTGGAATAAAGATGGAAATCAGGAAACTAGATTATGGTCCCAGTTTTGCGTTTGTGATCCTGGGCAAGGCACTTAATATTTCAGTCTTAGTCTACTCATCCATTGTTTTAGGGGCTCAGGAAAATGATACCAAAGATTCTCTGCTTCTAAGTGATCTTACCATTGAAGAATTTTGCTCATAAAACCCAATGTAAATAAGATAATTGCATATAATATTTTCCATCTAAACAACAACAAACACAACAAAAACAATGGAATTTCAACCTGTTTGAAATTGTCCAGAGACAAAAATAAAGTTCTATGAAGTTTATCTTCCAAGGAGTCCTCTATTTCAGTAACTCAATGCTCATTCCTTACTCTGCTAGAAGGGCAGATTCATATAAAATTTTTAAGAGATTTAAATAATAACCACTCCTGGGATAAACTGATTATTTTTGTAATCTAGGAAAAAAGGGGGCAATGCTTAATATGAGTAGAAGTAACTATTAGTAGAATTTGAGGCAATAAAGGGGGAGAATTTAAGGCTGAAGAAATCCTGCTCTCTCCACAAATCACAGAACCGCTGCCTTACCTTGATGATGAAGCCAGGCCGGTACCTTCAGTGGTAACTTACTGAAAGAATTTGAGGCTTCTGCAATTTATAACAGAGAACGAACATTCTTTCAGTAAGATACTGCCACCCATTTTGATAGTCAAGGTACAGCAACTATTGATGATCCTTGCCTGAATCAAATATTAAACTGGGGGCTACAAGACTCTTATTTTTCTAATTCTACCAATTCCTTCTGTAATGAATAAACCCCTCATTCATTCATTCTTGAGAAATGCTATGGACCGGTGGGTTTCTTTTTGCATTAATTGCTTTATAGTAAATTGCCATTATTTATCTTTTTGATGCTCAGATTATGTCAAATTTGGCCAGTGGGAAACCCTTTAAGGGGGCTCCTGTGTCTTTTTGACACAACCTCACAAAATTTTTTTTCTTACAAATAGTTTATTGTCAAGTTGGTTTCCATATAACACCCAGTGCTCATCCCCAGAAGTGCCCTCCTCCATGCCCATCTCCCCCATCCCCTCCACATCCATCAGTTCTCAGTTTGTTTCTCAGCATTCAAGAGTCTCTCATGGTTTGCCTCTCTCCCTTTCTCCCACCATTTCCCCCCTTCTTCTCCCCCATAGTCCTCCATTAAGTTCCTCCTAATCCTCCTGTATGTGCAAACATATGATATTTGTCCTTCTCTGCCTGACTTATTTCACTCAGCATAACACCCTCAAGGTCCATCCATGTTGCTACACATGGCTAGATTTCATTGTTTCTCATTGCCATGTAGTATTCCATCGTATAGATAAACCACATCTTCTTGATCCATTCGTCCATTGATGGACACTTAGGCTCTTTCCGTGTTTTAGCTATTGTGGAGAGTGCTGCTATGAACATTGGGGTACATGTGCTCCTATGCATCAGCATTTCTGTATCCCTTGGGTAAATTCCTAGCAGTGCTATTGCTGGGTCATAGGGGAGTTCTATTGTTAGTTTCCTGAGGAACCTCCACACTGTTTTCCAGAGGGGCTGTACCAGTTTACATTCCCACCAACAGTGTAGGAGGGTGCCCATTTCTCCACATCCTCGCCAGCATCTAGAGTCCTCTGATTTGCTCATTTTAGCCACTCTGACTGGCGTGAGGTGGTATCTCAGTGTGGTTTTGATTTGTATTTCCCTGATGAGGGGGGATGCTGAGCATCGTTTCATGTGTCTGTTGGCCATCTGGATATCCTCTTTGGAGAAGTGTCTGTTCATATCTTCTGCCCATTTCTTCACTGGGTTGTTTGTTTTTCGGGTGTGGAGTTTGGTGAGTTCCTTATAGATTTTGGATATTAACCCTTTATCTGATATGTCATTTGCAAATATCTTTTCCCATTCCGTTGGTTGCCTATTAGTTTTGCAACCTCACAAATTTTTGAATGACTCACTGCTTTCTGGCATTACTGAATATTCCATATTCACCTCTACATTCCCAGCCCATATATAGAGTCCTCGTTCCTTTTAGTGCAAAAACTGTTTAGAAACTAAGATGAGCATACTGATATTGATTATTTATATATAATACAACAAAGATTTTCCCTTAGCTTCTTATATTTTATATTTGTATCTCCTTTCCCCTGCAGTAAAAATCCTGTAACATTAATACATCTGCTTACTTGTTCTGTCCTGTAGTATAGAAAAACCATTTCAGAATCCTAAAATCAATTATATCACTAACAATAAACCCACTAAGTAAAGTTTAAGATTTCTTTGCAGTTCTTTTTGTTCTCTTACTATATTCCAAAATAGATACATTTTCAGAAAGCTATGTTCAAATTTTACTGAATGACTATTTTCTTTACGTGGCTATGTTACTAATATTATTTTGAGGTTGCCACAGTTTCTGTTTATTTTCAATTTGAGACAATTGAACTAATATTATATTTTAATCCACAGAAGCCTGAAAAATGAAGACTAAAATGAAGTATTCAACCACCAAAATCTCCCCAGGAAAAATGAACAGCTCAGCAGGCAAGGCTTTGGTAAAATCTCCCAAGTTGGGAAGTAAGAACTTAAGCATTTCTGATTGTTTTTACATACTATATTTATCTGTTATAAAATTTTTAACAGTTATATAAAATTTTTATTCTGATGTTCATACATGCCACCTTACCAAAAGCTACTAAGAATACAAGAGCTGAAATTAAGAGGGATGGCTCATAAATTTGTAATACAGCAGCCTTTGGTTTTAGACAGACTATATATAGCCAACTTTTGCTTGATACATACCAGAACAAGAATGGTTTGGGTAATTTAAACCTGCTATCGTGGCAAACATGAATAACCCTTAATATCAATCCCTTCTCTCTACCCACACCTCTTTCTAGCTAATCCCCAAATCTTATTCCCAGATTAATAAAATTTTAAACTGATTCTCTTTCATTCAACAAACATTTATTGTGTATAAAACACCTTTGGTCTACAAGCTATGGTCTTGACTTGTAACTTCTGATTATTCTGGGAGAGAATAATAAGTGAAGATATTTGAATAATCCATGCCCCAAATATAGCAGAATTGATCAAATAATGCTTACATCTATCCAACTGAAAACTCAAAGGAATTGGCATAAATTGAAGGGTAAATAAAGGCATGTAGTAGCCATAGTTTAAAGATTAAAGAGCTATATCTTTGATCCTGAAAATCATCCTAGGAAAGAATTATGAAAATTTATACTCATGCTTTTCATACAAAACAGGTAACACAAAATAAAGTTAATAGAAGCCTGGTAAGACTGAAGAGAAAATAGAGGCTGAGGAATGATAGTGGGGACTGGCATATCTTTGTTCTTTGTTTTCTTCATTTCTTTGAACATCTTTAAGGCTAGAAGAGAGAACAGTGGTAAAGAATATCATTTGCTGTCTTCCCCAAGGCTATGGCCCACCCATGCTGTTTTTAGTAACCAAGGAAAGTATTAATTTAACTATAGTTTCTGAAAGGCCAGGAAATCACAATTGTTGTGTGTTTTTAGTAACCAAGGAAAATATTAATTTAACTATAGTTTCACAATGGCCAGGAAATAATCCTTTTATTTGTGTCTGAATCAAAACGTTCTGTGTAGAAACAGTGACTCAGTGGAACTAACTCTATGTCCTCTTAATAAAGAATGTTTTCTTTGTACACCAGGAGATATGGCCCCTTTATAGATACTGGAGTGGAGGAACAGGCTGGGGTTTATGCCATAGTTGCTGCATTGATGCAAAAATTAAAATGTAACCCCTCCTTTAAGTGCACAGTGGCCCTAACAGCTTATTTATACCATTTAGAGAAACATGATGCAGATAATCCCCAAATCATTTATATGGCTTTGGAAGACAGCAAATTATTCTTATTGTCCATTAGCAGATATTCTTTTCCAATAATATTGCTTACTTTAACACTAAGATTGTCATTATTTAGACACTTTTGGCCAAAATTTCAACAGATATCTATAAAGTGTGTGGCAGGTGCACTTCTCAAAACCCAAAGTGTAAGTAATATTGTATCTTATTTTTCTAAATTAACTGCTCTGAGCCCCCAAGCAACAAAGCAAGAAAGCTCATTTCATTCCTTCTCCTTTGGACTAGCAAGATCTGACACAATCACAAGGCTAAAAACTCAAAATTTGTACCATCTATAAATCTATCTGCTAGAGGTATACATACAATCGGGTTCCATATGAGTTCTGGTCACCACTAAAGTATTTCATCTCTAGTACCAATAAGGTACAGGACTTAATGAACTAGCAAAAAGCCCCTCTCCAAGCTCATTTCCTTCCTAGTTTCCAGGAAGCTACTCCTGGAGTCTAGCTATTTTCCTCTGCTATTTCCTCTCCCCTATATTCATGAACACTTTCTCTGTTCTTACAATCCAGCTTCCTAATGAATCTAGCCAGTAGTCACAGTATGAAAGCCATGGGACAGATCCATCCAGCAGAAGTATTTTAACTAGCCTGAACAGTACTTTTGTTGTTTTTTAATTGAGGAAACATTTAAAGATTAGAAGATTGTGCATAAAAACCTGAATATCTTGAAAAAATATGAAAATCTAGCAACACTGGGCCCATGTCCCTACGTGGCAATAATTGGCAATAGAAATGAGTAGAGGTCACACACTTTAATTTGAGTATGTCCATGGAATAACTTCTGTTACAGTGATGGAGCTTCAGCTTTATCCTATGGATAGTAAGAAACAATTGAAAACCATTTAATTGGGGAATAGCAAGATATTTTTTAAGAGAGAGAGTGAGTATATGAGCAGAGGAGGGGGGCAGAAGGAGAGAGAGGAGAAGATGACCTCAGGCAGGTTCCATGCTCAGTGCTCCCACAACCCTGAAATCATAACCTGAGCTGAAATCAAGAGTCAGACACTCAATCAACTGAGCCACCTAGGCACCTGATATTTTTATTTTAGAAAGATTATATTGATGATGGTATATAGATAGAGTGAAGGGCAAGAATAGAAACAAAAACTGGTTAGAGGTCTACTGCATTCATCTAGGGGACTGATGATGAGGGCCTAACCTAAAACAACAGAATGGAAAGGAAGGACTAAATTTCAGATACACTCAGAAAGTGAAATCAGTAAGATTTAATGACAGTCCAAATAAATTGAGGGATGGACAGAGATGGAAAAATAGATGATTCTCAGCTTTCAGGATGATTTAAGAATAGGCAGACAATGATTAAAGTGGTATTGTTTCTCAAGATAGGGTTTCAAGAGAAATATATTTTGGGTAGAAAAAGATAAAGAAGGTTTTTTTTTTTTTTTTTTAATGAGAATATCTGAATTTAGGGTAGGGATTGGTCATCCAGGTAAAGATGTCTAGAATTCTGGAGACTTCACATAGATAGATACAAAGGTGCTTTAGGATAACTGAAGTCAAAATACCCTGTGAAGAAAGAGCAACAGATATGAAAATCAAGAGAAAGAACTAAGGTACAAGTACAGTTTGGGGAATCATCAGTATATAAAAAGATGTCAATGGAGCAGGCTTTCCAAGAAAGAAAGTCTAGAGTGAGAGGAAAAGGCAAAGGACAAATCCTGAGAAACACCAACATTTTAGGAGCAGTCAGACAAGGAAAAACCAACAAAGAAACAGAGATGGATGATCAGAGAGAAACAAGGAGAACATAAGAATACTGGTGACATGATAATAAAGGAAGAAAGAGTTTCAGAGAAAGATGTGGTTCCCAAAGTCAAATGCCACAGATAAATCAAGGGTAGTAAGCAGTGAGAAGAGAGTTTGGTGGAATAGGTGTTTGGGGAAGAAGTGAAAGATGAGTGATTCACTTATGTAGTTCCTGTCAACCATAGTCTGGCTCTCTTAGTGGCAGAAGTATAGAAAGATTTCGAAGCACCTTTCCATTTACTCACCAGAAATGCGTGAAAGATTTCATCATGTTGTTGCTATGATGAAATTACTTATGAGAATTTCCTTAAAAGCCATCTAAGACACTGCCGTCAGACATCAAGCAGGATAGAGACATAGGAAGTGGCAACAACCCTTACATAAGCTTGAGTTGGACCTTTGACCCCAGCAGAGCACTGTCTCCCACAGAGTCCCCAGGGCCATGCTGGCTTTGTGATTCCCATCTGAGAACACAACCTTTACACTATACTTTCAGCTGCCCTGAAACAAGAAAGTATACCTTCTTCCAAATACTCCCAATGTAAATTATCTTCAGTACTTCAAATAATATTTTTAAGTTTATTTGGGGAGAGAGAGGGGAGAGAGAGAAAGTGCATAAGCAGGGGAGGGGCAGAGAGAGAGGGAAACACAGAATCTGAAGCAGGCTCCAGGCTATGAGCTGTCAGCACAGAGCCAGATGCAGGACTCAAACCCATGAACAGTGAGATTAAGACCTAAGCAGAAGTCAGACACTTCAGACTGAGCCACCCAGGCGCTCCATCTTCAATACTTCAAGTATTCATCCTTCAGTAAATTATACTAGTGTTTGTTCCACTAGATGGTAACCCCTACATTAATATCTTTAGCCTCTCTCTCCTTCTACATCCCTACTTCCTCGATATCATGACTCTTACTTCTAACTACCCAAGACCCACATCCTGCTCCCCACAGGGTCCACTCTCAATATTAGACATGCCTGTCAGTTATGTCCAATGGGATTCTGAATATAACATATAGATAAGCATGTAAAGAATGAGCATGTTTTCAGTATCATCTTATGCCTTTTAGGTCTGGAGACACAATGTGATACAGTTAATAAAGTATTTTATTAAATTAATTATCAGGAAACCAAGTTCAATGCTGGCATTTGCATAGCTTTTATAAATTATCTTTGCAATAGTAAAAGCATTACAGAAATGTGATACTATAGTTGGTATTTATAAATTGTGATGCAATGTTAGGGAGTTCCAGGGTAGATGTGAATATAATTAAGTGGTCTTGTCCCATTCAGACAGTTGAAGATACCTAAAGGCAGATGCCCATCTGAATTGGAGTAAGATATAGATAATTCAAAATAGCAACTAACAAAAGTTTACTTAACTTTCAAAAGCATATCAGGAAGACAAACTTCTAGAGAATTTTAAAAAAGAAGGAGGGCATCTGGGTGGCTCAGCCTGTTAAGTGTTCTGACTCTTAATTTTAGCTTAGGTCATGATCTCATGGCTCATGAGATCAAGCCCCATGTTGGGTACCACACTGAGCATGGGGACTGCTTGGGATTCTCTTTCTCCCTCCCTCTCTGCTCCTCTTCCACTCACTCTCTCTCTCTCAAAATAAATAAGTAAATATTAAAATGATATATCATAAAATGGATCCTAAAGTCACAATTTTCATTTTATGAATTACTGTGAATAATTGAAATTTGGCTGTATTGGTACAAATTGTTTGATAATTCATTTGCTATAACGTTAAAAGTTGAGATGCTGTGACTCAAGTGTTACAACTTTCTTTTTTGTTTGACGCTGAAAAGCCTTTTATGAATTTACGAGTAGAAAATTTAATTTTTTTATTTGAGACTTTTTCTTTGACTAAGTGAAAAAATTACTAAATAGGTGATTAAATTTTTTACTTTAACTGATTTAATTAATTTGTATTATGTTAGTTCCTAAAATTACAAAGTAGCATTTTCTTAGATGGAAGTAGATAGAAAGAGTAGCTTTGATGCTAGACATATTTGAATTACAATTTCTCACCAGACCTGTAACCTTGGGCAAGTGTGTGTGTGAGCATCCATAATGGGCCAGGAACTGGGCTTTAATTATGTTGTTTCACTTGATTCTCCTAGCAATTTTCTGAAACAGAGTAGGCATATGACCTGAGGACCAATGAGGTTAAATGCCTGGCCAAGATCACATAGTTAATAATCAAGGACCTGGACCTCCAACAAATTCTTGCCAAATGCAAGGATTTTCTTTCCATACGATTATGCCTTGACTTAATCTAGTGTTAAGATGTAGATACAAATGGCAGCTGAGTTGTTCTTTGGTTTTGTTTTCATTTGGAATTGGTAAATGAAACCAACAACTGTCTTCTAATCCAAATAGATTGTCTCCTTAGAGAGACCCAGTGTCTACCAGCTTGCCTTTCCCAAGTTTCTCGTAAAGGTAACTTGATGCCTTCCAACGGTTCCCAACATGGACCCTTGGAAACACTGTTTGGCTTCTGGGAAGACCAATAGATATTCTTTCACTGCAACAAATCAGACAGGAATCTGCTTCTAAGGGCGCCTGTGTGGCTCAGTTGGTTGGGTGCCTGATCGCGGCTCAGGTCATGATCTTGCGGTTCATGGGTTTGAGCCCCCTCAGGCTTTGTGCTGGTAGCTTGGAGCCTGGAGCCTGCTTTGGATTCTGTGTCTCCCTCTCTCTCTCCACTCCTCTCCCACTTGTGCTCTCTCTCTGTCAAAAATAAAATAAACATTAAAAAAAAAAAGAAAGAAAGAAGAACCTGCTCCTAACTCTAAGATAAAATAAAAGAATGGGAACTACCCAGGAAAGTTAAGAGCTGGGGGGGGGGGGGGAGGGGAGGGAGGAGGTTCCCTTCACTGCTTGAAAATAACCAGCAAAAGCCAAATTTTCATTCAAATTTTTTCATGAATCAAGAATCAGTTTTTCCTGCCGATAAATATCAGAGCCTTAAGAGTTTTTCAGTGCCTCTGATCATCATCTGAAAAATGAGGAGAATAATTTCCTTGTAATATTATTGTGTGTGAAAGACTAAACAAAACAGTAAGTAAAATTTCTAGCACAGTGTTTGGTCTGCTGTAGACATGCTAACATTTGAGAAGGCAGCAAAAAATACTTAAAGGAAAAAAGATGGTCTTTTCAAAAAATGGTGCTAGGAAGACTGGATATCCGCATATAAAAGAACTCAAAAAAAAAACAAAACCTGAAATGGATTAAAGACTTAAATGTTAGACATGAAACTCTTAGAAGAAAATAAAAGAAAAAAGCTTGAAGACATGGGTCTTTTATTTTTAATATCAATAATCTCTAGAGACTATAGCCATCCTTTTAAAATTATTAAAAGTGTATTCTAATTAAGTAAAAGAAGATTATACATTTCATATGACCACAAAAGTTCCACCTCAGTTAGGCAAAGACTGATATATGCTTGATGTAGATCCACACTTCCTTATATGGAATTTGGAAAACCAAATTTTTTTCTAAAGATCTAAAATTTTTCATGACTCATTTAGTAATAAAATATAATCTGAACTCATGTGACAATTAAATCCTGACCTGAACCAACATGAAGTCTTTATTTATTTCACTTTACATAAAATTTCCTATATCTCACTATAAAATCACTAATTAATATTTGGTTTTGAGTTGCTGCCTTAGTCCCTGCTGGGAGTACTACATATATACAGTATATACTCTACATGACAACTCTAAAATCTAAAAAACTCTGAAGTTTGAGGTGCCTGGGTGGCTCAGTCAGTTAAGCATCTGACTTTGGCTCAGGTCACAATCTCACAGTTTGTGATTTTGAGCCCTGCATCGGGCTCTGTGCTGACAGCTCAGACAGAGCCTGGAGCCTGCTTCGGATTCTGTGTCTCCTCTCTCTCTGCTCTTCCCCTGCTCATGCTCTGCCTCTCTCTCCTTCAAAAATAAATAAACATTGAAAAAATAAAAAATAAATAAAAAATTAAAAAACCCTGAAGTTTGAAATACAAGTCACCCCAAGCTTTCTGATAAAATATTGTGGACTTTCAGTTGCTTTAGTGGCTGGCTATGCTCATGATTTGTAAAAAGATAAAGACAGATGGAATGAAACAGTATTACATTTTTTCAATTGTTTAGAATCCCAGCAGAAGGCTGAAGAAGTTTGCCAAATGTACTTTATGCAACTACGTTCTGGCCTTATCATAGAAAAGACAGCCTGTTATGTCAGGAAAGAAACCACCAAAAGGCATTCACCAAGAACAGGTAAGGGGAAACTGTATGTTTTCTGGTAATTCTTCACTATAATAATGGGCATCTATTTGCCTTCATTTACCACATCTTAGATATCTAATTTTTTCCTCGACCAAATTTTCCTTCTGAAATATAGTAAGGACGCTGAACTATTTTCTGGCCATTTTCAAAAGGACAGATAAAGAGTTTTATGGCATGGTAGAAATAGTCATAAATAATAAGTGAAAACAGAGGATATTAAATTATAAATATATTTACAATATTTTATTGTGTTTTTTTTTTCATTTAAAGGAATTAAACGAAAATGTTAATAGCAGTTGTTTTTTGGGTGTTGAGACCGTGGGTAACTAGTTTTCTCCCACCTGGACTCCAATTAGTGTACCCTACTGAGGTATAACTGTGCCAGGAAATATTGATCCCTTCAGACTATGGGGTGGCTAAAGTCCTGGGGTCAGTCATCACTGTCAGCAAGCAGCTTTGACTCAGAATCCTCAAAGTGGATTTGGGGTTTGGGATAAGGGATTTGACAGAGTGTGTATTGACACTTCAATGTTTTCCACATCTGTATTCTAACACTACTGACAGAGTGAAACATGACATTAGTTGAATGATGCATTCCCCACAGTGTTCTTTCACAGAGTTGAGTATTTAACACTTACCTTATAATTCCATGCATGTGTTTTCAAGCATTTCTAACTTAGTGAAACTACATGGTAACTGAATGCTGCATTTTGCGCAGTGTTGTTTCTCAGAGTTGAGTGTACAGCACCTCCCCCATTGGTCTCCGCATCTGTATTCTAACACTACTAACATAATGAAACGACGTTAGTTGAATGATGCATTCCCCACAGTGTTCTTTCATAGAGTTGAGTATATAACAGAGTGGGTATTGACAGTCCACTTCTATTCCCACCTCTGTCCTGCAGCTGGAAATTATAAACATCTAGTATTCACTGCCTGTCGTCAGCAGCCGGAACGGCCTGTAAAGAGCTTAGCCTTTGATATGCCTATGGTCCAGAAATGCATTGGAACAACTGGTGTTTCAGCTATCCAAGGTATGTCTGGTGATGGGGGTGGTGTGGGTGTGAGGAGGGAGGTAAGACACAGGACCCTGGCAAGTGCCACTCCAGGAAGCAGCTTCAAGTCCATGCCTACTTGTGTAACAGAAACTTCTGTCCATTTGTTGCCAATGTACCCATTTAGTGGTATCCAAACCAGGTACAGTGTAGCTGCTCTAACAATGAGTGTGCATTCTATAGTTAACCTTCCATAATTATTTTGAAATGGTTGTTATGGGTTGGAAATATGGGGAAAATATTTAATCCTTCAAGGGAAAAAACACATTTCCTCCACAAATTTCAACATTTTGACAATGAAAGAAAATGAAGAACTATTATATTTTTAAAATATAATTTCAACTCTTAAACATTTTAAATAGTTGTTAAAATTGTTTTAAGTTGTATCATCTACTTCTGCAAATAAAATCCAAGTTGATAGTAACTATCAAGAAGTGAAGAGATCATTAAGAAAACTTGACCAGAAATGACATACTGTTATTCAAGCATAATTCCTGATATAAATGTCTTAAGTTTCCAGAAGCATACTGAAGTTTCTCAATAAGAATTTGTGCTAAGCAAAACAAGTCAATAAGAGAAAGAGAAAAACTATATAATTTCACTCATATGTGGAATTTAAGAAACAAAAGAGATGAACATATGAGAAGGGGGAAGAGAAGAGAGGGAAACAAACCACAAGAAACTCTTAATGATAAATAACAAACTGCAGGCTGATGGAAGGAGACGGGTAGGAGATGGGCTAGATGGGTGATGGGTACTAAGGACAGCACTTGTTGTGAAGACCACTGAGTGTTGTATCTAAGTAAAAAATCACGGACCTAGTCCTGAAATCAATATTGCACTGTATGTTAACTAACTAAAATTTAAATAAAGAAAGAATTTTAATTATTTTACTTTAGAAATTCATATACAGACTCAATATTTAACATTCTTATATTTTGTGTATTATTTTTCTTAGCACAATTCTATAATATAAAGAAAAATATAATAATTTTTTCTTTCAGGACCAACATAAGTCCCAATTCTACAACAGTTTACCTCAGCATGCCATAGAAATAGCATTTTCTATGTGTGCTGGGACATTTTTTTAAAGTTGAGAGTGCTGCTCTAAGTGTCTCTCTTATTAGCCAGAGGGCAGAGTGGGTCTCTAACTCCACAACTTACAGATGGGTATTCATTTAACCACGTCTATCAAAATACAGTCCCTTTTTGTCCACAGTCTCCTTGACCATAAGAAAAAAGGAAGCAGGCAAAGTCTGTCAATTTTCCAGCTTATTTCTCTCCACCAAATCCTTCCATAAACACACTAACATGACCTCCTTTGGTCTTCATGCAGGAGACCAGCATATTAATTCCATTCAAGTGGCAAACTTCAGCCTTTCAGCTATGTTAAGATTGCACCAAAGGCCTTTATCTATCTAACAATAGTGGACAAAGTACAGCTCAAATTGGAAAAACAAAAACAAAAACCTTTACGGAAGCATTTTTTTAATTGCTGAAGACTGTTCATGGGAACAAGTTATTTTGAATTTTTAATGACAAGCTTTTTACTTGTTACAGAATATTCTGCTTCCTTGAGCACATACAATGATCAATCTATTACTTTCGTTTTTGAGGATGGAAGTTATGAGATCTATGTAGAAGACTTGGGAAAAAATCAAGAGAAAGGTAGAATATTTCCTTTTGTCTATAATGATATAATTATGACTAGTAAAGTAAAAAAATATTTACCAAACCATAAATAATGTATTACTTCAAACATGACACATAGATTTCATACTGTGTGCCAACTCTAATGCATTGGCAGAGATGCCTAAATATCACTAAGTTGAAGAGAATTCAGAAGCTTAGTGAGGACTGAATAGGGAAAAATGCTGATACTGAGAAGTGGTATATTTTGTGAAAGATGGAAGAAGAGGGATTCCTGTGTGGTTCAGTCACTTAAGTGTCCGACTCTTGGTTTCGGCTCAGGCCATGATCTCAGGGTTCATGGGATCGAGCCCTGTGTCAGGCTCTGCACTGACAGCACAGGGTCAGCTTGGGATTCTCTCTCTCTGTCTTTTTCTGCCCCTCCCCAACTCATACTCTCTCTCAAAATAAGTAAATAAGCTTAATTTTAAAAGATGGAAAAAGATGAATGAAGAGAATACATATATTTGCTATTGCTAAATTACCTACTATATCTTTCCAGCCCTATAAATATCGCCAAAGTACAACCTCAAATAAAAGAATATACCAGTGTTATGAACTATATGTTGAAGATTTTAATAATGACTGTGTTAGAGAATTCATCAGAGCGTATTCATACATTTTTAAGACCTTTCTTAAAATCACTAAAGTTATTTTATTGATGTATAATAAAAGAGGCTATTTTCTGATGTTATTTATTTGTTAAAATTCAAACCTTTTGATAAAATTGTATCTCACCAAAGGGATTTTATGCATTCTTTTTCAGATAAGGTGTTATTCCGTTATTATGATTCCCAACCTCCTTCACGTGAAACAGGTAATTTGGAAGGCTAGGTAGCTGAAGTACTTGAATTCTTGAATTTGGGGTAAGGACAAATCCAAAAATCCTCCATAAAAAAGGAAGGCAGTCTCAGAAGATTCTCCTAACCCACACTCATGGTAAAATCTTAGATTCTTACAGGATTTATTCCATCCCATCCATTGTGCAGTTTAATAATTAGGATGAAGACTTACATTTAAAAGAGATCCAGAATAATAGCGGTTTGAGCTACATAAAACTTTATTTCTGTCTTAGCCAGGACAAGAATGGGAGTACTGCTCAACAGGTTATCTGGGGACCTGGCCCCTTCTCTCTTTGTCACTCTGCCAACATATACATGGTTCAAGATTACTTGCTACCACAGGAATGCCCAATCAGCAGGACAGAGGAAGACAGATGCATGAACTGTCTTTTCCTTTAAAGACAAAACCTTGAAGTTGCACCTGACACTTCCACTCACCTCATATTGGTCAAAACTTTGTCACATTGCTACATTTAGCTACAAGAAAACAGACTGGGAAATGTTCTATTACACAAGGAGAGTAGTTGGGATGTTGAAGGACAACTATCAGTGGCTTTACATGGAGACAGGGAAGCTGACACCCAGACAAATACCCAATAGAGTCATTATTCTACAATTAGAAAGCATATAAGAAAGCTATGGAGCTTAAAAATAACTGCAAATTGTCCAATGACTCTTTAGGAGCTTAAAATTACTCCCAAGTTGTCCAATGACTCTTTAGTTTCATTTGGGTACAAATACTTCTAAAAGACGTGTTGGCTAGTGAAGCAGTTATTTACATTACATCTTGGATTCTTTACCTAGGTGTTAAACTTATTTAAATTAAAATGAGTTATATTCTTAGCCTTATAATTTACATTTTTAAATTAATTTATTTTTAATTTACATATATTTTTAATTGCAAGGTGATGCTGTTGATGGCCAGACATTATTGGTAAACCTGAGTCCTACAAAAGATAAAGACTTCCTGCTGCATGCAAATAACAAAGAACACTCTGTGGAGGTAATAGAAATATACACTTAACTGTCATAATTGACTCCAATTATTTGTGCAGATTTAGGTATTGGCATATTTCAAGGAAGAAGTTTTGTTTGTGCTATTGTACATAAAATACAATTACTACTAACAACTCACTTCTGGAGTAGGGAAGGGAAGGAAATGGCATGTATAGCCTTGCAACTGAAAAGTCTGGGCTCTGCCAGCAGTGTAGAATCACCTGGGAGTTTGTTAGAAATGCAGAATTTCAGGCTTCCTCACAACTGAATGAGAATCAGCATTTTAACAAATTTTAACAAATCTCCAGGAGACTCATACGCACATTAAAGTTTGAAAAGCGCTACTATATGGAATGATCTGAAATCCTTTCTACTCAGCTTTAGGAACTACTTTGTTTTTCTAGGAAGTGTTTCTTAATAAAATAGCTTTCTTAGGCAAATGCAACAGTTTACACTCCAAGCCTGCTAATGGGAAAGTCATAAATATTTCTATCTGCCAAGATTTACAATTATCATTGTAAATAATAACCTACATTCTAATCATAGGATTCACTACAGTCTTTTTCAGTTAGTAAACAGTAGTATAATATTTGTCATGATGAAGAATTATAAACATCTTGAGAACAAACAAGCCAAAGATAGAGACCAGGAAGAAAATATAAGAGTATAATATAGATGACAGATTACATAAATACAAAATTATAAATCTAACTAATACAGTCATAAGGTATTAACATAAGCACTCAATGGTAACCAATATCTTCCTTAACAATGCTCCTCAATGTATATAACAGTGTTTGGCATATATAATTACTTGGTAGTAAGAGCTGACCCATATAGAACTCTATCATATGCCAAATACCATGTTAAATGTTTTACAAGTAGTCTCCTTTAATTATTGAGGTAATTCTACGATGGAATTATTGTATTTGTTAGATATTACTATATAACAAACCATTCCCAACACTTATTGGCCTGAAATAATAATCATTTCTATCACTCACAAGTAGAAAACAGGTTAGACTAAAAAAAATTGATGCTTGAGAAGTAAAGCAATGTGCACAAATCTCAGAGACAGTACATGGTAAAAGTAGGGCACAAATCCTGAGCTGCTGCCTCTAAATCCAGTCATTCTAAGCTATAAAGTCTCTCAAGATATATAGACCATCAGTAAATTAAATTAAGTCCATCCCACTTCAGCCCTCAACTAACTTCCTCCTCCCCCATTCCCATCCTCTACTTAGTAATAAGTAGCCTTGCTAGAAATACCAATTTATAACTAATTTCCTTTAGTTCCTAACACACGGAGGTGAGGTTGACTTTGGATTTCCCACTCACATACTGGTTGTTTTTTTTCTTGTTTCCTCAGCTACAAAAATTTGAAAACCCATTGCCAGACCAGGCCTTCTTCCTCCTTCACAAGAAGTCTTCCAAATGTGTTTCATTTGAATGTAAGAATGATCCTGGAGTGTTTATAGGAGTAAAGGATAACCACCTTGCTCTAATTAAAGTAGAGGATCAAACTAAAGATTCAACTATAGAAAATACCATATTTAAACTCTCTTAAAATTAATGTTATGGAGAGCTGTGGATTTTGTGTTGGATAGCCCAAATAGCTACCACTGGAGAAATGATCAAGAAAGAGACAGATAACATTTAAGGGAAGTGGAGGGTATTTAGTATGTTATGGAATGTTTTTCTCATTCTGTGTAAATATTTTTTATGGTCCTTCATTTCTGCTTTTTATTTCCCTCTGTATCATTACATATTCAATAGGGTATTGCTAAAGAGACCTCAGAAGAGATACAACCTGATCTTTATATTTTTATGCTTTCAGTACAGAAAGAACTTCATATTTAGAGCTGAGACCTCTGGGAAAAGCAAGGGTCTTAATCCAAGTCTCATTTTAGACAGATTCATTTTAAAGAGCTACATAGAGACATAATTTTCCCTGGTTCCAAACAATGAGTTTACACACTAAAGCTCTTGGTGAAAAGACAACCAGGTCTACCTGGACTGACCGATTCACAACTGGATTAAAACAACAAATTTGTTTGAAGATGCCCAAAACTTCAGATACCTACATAGGTAGGCAGGTAATATAAATATGTGAAAAGAGAGAGACAGTCAAAGCATTAAGAAAAATAAATCCAGTGTGTTTGTAAATATTTTTACCTCTAATTGTTTGTAAACTGCTGATTTTTTATAGACTTAGTTAAGTTTAAGCAAGGCATTCTTATATTAGGAAATGAAAAAAATTATAGGTCAGACATATAATTGAAATCATTAGGAATATCCAACAAACTAAAACATTTATTTAAAGCACTGACACAACCTATCTTAGGATATCCAAGTACCATGGGATCCAAGTACCACAGTGAATTGAGAAGTCCTCTAATCTATTAGAGCCTAGATGGGACACAGGATTAACATCACAATTTCAATAACTGTCTATCCCTTAATTTTGTGGTATCCTATGTCCTTCAGACCCTATCCTCAAGGGATCTATGACTTTTGATATACATGTCACCCTGGACAACATTTTTTCTAATACTTTCTTCCCATGTATATGCGTTTTACTTGTCCAGCTTCCCAATTACCCTACTTACTATGGAATATTTATTTGGCTTTTCTTCCTTACTCATTCTTTGACCAACTGTGTTCTTGATATATCTTTTGTGCCTCCTGAGCTTTATTACATATCATGTGATCTCTGGATACCATATTTATTCTACTTCATCTACCTTATGTTGTAGAATTTCACACAAGCCTATTAAGAGAAATATTTTTATTAAATACCTTTGCATTTTACATTACTAAGGTAATAAAATTCATGCCCAACCATATAATAAGATTGTTCAACTACTGAAAGAATCATTTTGCTTATTTTAAGGCCTTAATTCTACCATAATTTTTCACAGGCTTAACACCGACAATAAATGATAAAACTAATAACAGAATACTTATAAAATGTAACTTCTTCTGAAAGTGTAGGCTTTTTAATTCTTAATTTGGTGAGATCTATTAGATTATGATACTGATGGAACATAAGATTTAAAAAGCTGAGAATTACTTTGTGAGGGTAAACAATTATAAATAATAATAGATCTTTCATTACATTGCCAATTTTAATATGGAGACAAAAATAAAAGCAGAATCTATATCATCCTATCTGAAAAACGCTAAATGTTAATCATATGCATTTCTATGATATACTTAAAATGATTGTTTTTAGGTAACCAGATATATCTGTTACATTGTTTAAGTTCTTGAATAAATTGTATTTTTTAAAAGTCTATGAGGCCACATTTTTATCATAAAATGACTAAATATTCTGAAATTTTTAAGAAAGTATACTTTATTCCGCCAATGTTGGTGTATGGAGTAGGTCATTTGTCTGATATTTTTGGTCATTCAAAACTAAGATATTCCAGACAAGGGATCATATCTTTTACACCTTTGTAATTTCCAGTGCCCATCATACTGCCCAGCACAGAGAGCTATTCAGTGACCTTTACCCAAAACCAAACAGCCAACATACACCTGCCAAAGGAACTTTAACCTAACCTCTGACTCATTTAGGTATCTTTCAACTTGGTTATCTTATATTTCATGTTCAATTCTCCTTTTCTAAAGATACTTTGCTCATCACAATGCTGATTATTATTTGATTAAAATATTAAGTGGGCGATGGCCTTTTGTCACTTACTTTAATGTGTTTTGATGATCCGAAACACAAACATAACTGGAAGGAATTTTTCCATTTCATTGTATCAGAATGAAAATTATATCAAAACTTACTTTTCCTCATTTTATTTATATTCATTAAATTTTTATGTATTCATTGGATACCTTGAAATACTATCAAGAAAATTTTATTTGAATAAGTAATATGACTTAGAATTGGAAAAGAAAATGAAGTAAGAGTTAAGATTCAGGGGATCTGGAAAGATAATTGCTAATTTAAATAGGATGCGACAGCTTGATGGGGCATCTGGGTAGCTCAGTTGGTTAAGCATCCAACTTCAGGTCAGGTCATGATCTCACCATTGTGGGTTTGAGCCCCATGTTGGGCTATGTGCTGACAGCTCAGAACCTAGAGCGTGTTTCGGATTCTGTGTCTCCCTCTCTGCCCCTCCCCAACTTGCTCTCTTTCTCTCTCTCTTTCAAAATGAAAAACATTAAAAAAAAAAAAAAAAGAATGCAACAGCTTGATTAAAAAGATTGAATTATAGCCCCCCACATCTGTAAAAAAAAAAAAAAAGCCAGAAAATAAAAACAATTTCAACCTTTGTGCCTCATGCTGAGAAATTGCATGATGGATAGAAAAATCTTAAACAAGAGTATTCTTGTGCGGATTGGGCCAGGCTTGTCCCAAATTCCTCCCCCACCCCCACCATACAATGAACTATACAGCACAGAAATCTTGTCCTCTAGCAGTTGCTCCCTAAGTACCTGTCATGTGTATTAGACTTTGCTAGGTAGCATGAAAGCACCCCCCCAAGAAAGACTAAACCATGTTCCTTATCCACATGGAACTTAAAACATGTACAATTTATGTATTAAAACTCAAACCCTGCAGTACACAGTTGCACAATGGTAAGAAAGATCAGTGTGAAAAGAAAGAAGAGTGAATTCTCTATCTCCAATCCCTACGACCCACCCTGATCTATTCATATATCCATTCTCAAGGTCATGTTAAATAGGTTCCTTCTGCAGGTCCCAGTCAGGGTTGGGATTAGGGGGTTTAGAACTCTGAGAAATGGATGCAAAAGATAAAAGTTAAAGCCAAATTGGTAGAGATAGAAGCAATGAGCTACTTTTGTTGAGGTGCCAAGATGATGAAACACTTGTCCAACTCTAATTATGGTCCGTACCCCATAGAGTACTCCCATAAAAAGAATGCATATTAAGAACATAGATTTGGGGGCACCTGGCTGGGTCAACTGGAAGAGCCTGCAACTCTTGATCTCAGGGCCATGAATTCAATCCCCATGTTGGGTGTAGAGATTACATACATACATACATACATACATACATACATACTTACAGAAACAAACAAAACATTTTTTTTTTAAAAAGAACATAGGTTTGGTTTACTGTTTACAGGCTATGTAACTTCAGCTAATTATGTGACCTCTCTCAATCTCTGTTTATTCTCTGTAAAATGAGAAAGTACCAAATATTGTAGTTGTTTACCTAATATCCATCACCACCATCCCTACTTTCTTACCAAAAGAACCTCATTTTGTACTGGGCAACAATATCCCCAACTCAAAATATATGCCTTCCCAGACTCCCATGTAGTAGCTATGGTAACCACTTGACACTGTTCTGAACAATAAAATATAGGCAGGATAAGGGTTTGAGAAAAACTTTTTTTTTAATTTTTAATTTTTTTAGAGAGAGAGGCAGCATGAGTGGGAGAAAGTGGCAGAGGGAGAAAGAGAGAATCTTAAGCAGGCTCCATGCTTAGCATAGAACTTGACACAGGTCTCGATCTCACAACCTTGGGATCATGACTTGAGCGAGAAATCAAGAGCCAGATGCTTAACTGACTAAGCCACCCAGGCGTCCCAAGAAAAACTTTTTAAAAGGGGATATATTAAACTAAAATGCACTTTTTGTCTTTCACCCTTTTCACCTTCCTCTTACTTAGACCTAGACCTCTTACTTATATGAGGCTGAATGTAGAACAGCCAACTTGTGACCATGGAGTAATGAACATGGGGATAAAGGTCAATACATTAAAAATGGTAGGAAGAAAAGATAGAAGAACTCTGGTGTTGTGAACAATATTGGTGTTCTGCCCAAATCCCCTTGGATCCCTTTATACTGAATTCTTTTATTACATTTCCATGTGTACCATACACCCATATAAACACCACCACCACCACCATCTTCTGTGGACTTTCAATATCCATCACTTGCAGTTTTCTTACAAGGATTGTTTTTAGGAACTGATATTGCTTTGCCCTCTTGTACAAAGAGATGAAAGCTTCTGTGAGTTTGCATTCCTTTCATCAGCCTTACAAGGCTTTTGAAAGTCCTTGCTTGGGCCAAACAACTCTGTCTTAAATTTCACTCAAAAATTCTCCTACAGGCTTCATGCTGAAGCTACCCTCTGCTGGACTTCAGCATGAGATCATATTCTTACCAAGATTCCTGCCCATCCTTGTTCTGCCCAACTCCTGTAGCAATCTTTCTTGGGAAGGTTCTCTTAGTAAATCACATGTTCATGAATCCCTAACTCAAGGTCCACATCAAGGGAGCCTAATGTAAGACAGTGGGACACATGTGACACTGTGTTTCTGTCATGCTAGTCTTATAGTATTAACTGCAAACTTTCTTATTGAGAGAGAAAGGTAAACCCAAGTGTGCCTAAGCAAGAGTTCAGTTTTCTTTTGAATGTGGCTTCAAGCAAACTTCAAACATAGAAGAAATGATGGGAAAACCTACTTCTTAGGACACTGATAAGAATTCCTTTGCATATTGCAAGCACTCAGTGAATGTTAGTTTTAAAAGGTAGGCAAACCTGACTGCTATTAACTGAGAACAATGTTTCTTAGGTACAATTAGCACATAGGGAAGCACACTCAAATTCCTCTATAACTTTAATAGAAGTTACCCTGATAGAGTATGTGTGTTGGGCAAGTGTTGGAATCAGAATGAAAGAGATCTGACAGATATGGAAGTAATCCACCAACTTCATAGGTGTTTATTTTATCATACTTCTTTACTTACAAGTTACATATAGTCTTTTATACATATAAAATATTACATTATAACTAAAAAAATTTAATAGCACAAATGAAAAGACCCATATTTCTCCAAAAGATAATTTGATAGGGGCATCTGAGTGGGTCAGTCAGTTAAGTGTCTGTCCAACTTCAGCTCAGGTTATGATCTCACAGCTTGTGAGTTCAAGGCCTGAATCAGGCTCAGGGCTGACAGCTCAGAGCCTGAGGTCTGCTTTGGATTCTGTGTTTCCCTCTCTCTCTGCCCCTCTCCCACTACTGCTCTCTCTCTATCTCTCAAAAATAAACATTAAAAATTTTTTAAAGATAATTTGATTTAAAAAGTACAGGTGTTTCAAGATATAGGAAAGGGATAACTAAAAAATTATGTAGTAATCTATTAATATTAAGAAGATCAGAAAAATAACAGAGAAATCAATGAAACAAAAAACTGGATATTAGAGAAAAATTAATAAAATTGATAAACCTCCAGCCAGACTGATCAGAAAAACAAAAAGAAATAATACAAATTATCAATATCTATAAGAGAGTTGGCATTACTATAGATTCTAAAGATATTAAAAGGATGAAAAGGAGAATACTACGGACAATACTTTGGTAATTTCAGTGAAAATAGACAAATTCCTTGAAAGGCACAAAATATTATGACTCACTCAAGAAGACACAAACAATTTGAATAGCTCTATTCATTTTTAAAAGTGAACTTATTGTTTAAAATGCTTTCATTAAAAACTTGTCATCACTGGTGAATTCTTTCAAACATTTAATGAAGAAATAATACCAATTCTAAGCAAACTCTATTAAAATTAAAGAAGAGAAAATTCTATTGAACTTATTTTATGAGGCAAGCATTACACTGATATCAAAACCAAAGATATTACAAGAAAAGAAAAATACAGATGAATATTTTCAGGAACATAGATACAAAAATTGAAAAATTTACATACTAAAATTATTTATTTATTTATTTATTTATTTCTAGGAGAGAGAGAGAGACAGCGTGAGCAGGGGAGGGTCAGAAAGAGAGGGAGTCACAGACTGAAACAGGGTCCAGGCTCTGAGCTGGCAGTCAGCACAGGGCCCGACGCGGGGCTCGAACCCACGAACCGCGAGATCATGACCTAAGCGAAAGTCGGACGCTTAACCGACTAAGACACCCAGGTGCCCCTACATACTAAAATTTTTGTTAATCAAACCCACAAATATAAAAAGTAGATATATAATATATATAAGGATATGTATATTAAATAGATATAAGGGTACATAATGATCAAGTGGGGTTTATTCCAGGAATATAATGTTGGTTTAATATTAAAAAATCAATTAATGTAATTTATTATTTTAACAAACTAAAAGAGAAAAACCAAATGATCATCTCACTAGATGCAGAAAAATCAGCTGACAAAACCCAACATCCAT